CTAGTTATTTCTTCATTTTATGAGCTCTAAGGTAACATTTATAGTAATTTTACACCAGCCTGGCAGGCCAGTAAAAACTGCTCCGCAAGCCAGAGTTTGCCCAATCCTGGTTTAGGGTTGCATATCTAGTGAAATTGCTAAGAAATGTGCAGTTATGGATTTTTATTTTGGCCCCCGAGACCCCAAAAAATTTAGAATTTAATAATTTCAACCACGGCCTCCAGAATGAGGGCCCAATGTTTTAACAGCTGGGCCAGATGGAGGACACAGCAGACTGACCACAGTGATTCCCCAAACTGTGGTGCTATGGTACTAATTTTCAGGATTTGTGCAGGTAAAAATTTCACAACTGTGACACTGCCTACTCAAGTGTAGTTAATTAATACATAGCATGCATGTTTAAAAATGGACATTTTCAAATCTACTAAACGCACAATCTCACACACACACACAAACACATTTTATCATTTATTTAATTATGTAAAACCATAATTACAGAGACTAGTTTTGATTGTTGTGAATGACAACAGAAAAAGACTGTTTTCAGTTGATGTAAATGCAACAGGTAATGGGATTATTTTTTGGTAACTGCTTGTTCTATGCAACAGTTAAAGAGACTAGTTTCAACAATGTAAATGCCTACTTGTTTTTTTACTGTTCTGAATGCAACAGTTAAAGATATTTATATTCTGGTTGCTTTGCATTCTATACAGATCATGAAGCTGTTGTTAGCTGCTGCATACAGGTAAAACAAAGGACCCTTCTTCATGCCTCCAAGTGTATAGGGCTAGACCGATTTGCTATAGACCAACTGGCTCTTGGTGGGTGATGTGGTCAGCATCCTGCTGGCCGCCTTTACTTCCCAGGGCCTCTACCTGCTACTCAATCAAGGTTGGGTCGGCATGGGAACCAAAGTCATATTTTTGGGGGGTGGGGGGCTCCTGGCTCCATTCGAACCCGAATCCACAACCTTCTGGTCCGCATGCGAGCATCTAGCGGCTACGCCACGGCGACTCCCTTGCTGTTTATACTAGAGAAAATATTCAGACACATAGCCACACTTATTTCTGTCTGTTTGCCTACTTCTGGAACTGAAATCGGCAGGTTCCACATTACAGCAAGCCGGATATAAAAGCAAAGCAAACCTCACCGAACCTCTCTAGATCAGCCCCCTAAGTACAACCTTGATGTGCACTAGGGAGGTGAGGGGTCTTGTTCTTTTTCTCCACACATCCACATACCTGTAGCCAACTGGAGAAAATGCCCCAAATATGTCAACCCTTGTAAAATACAGCCCAGGCTTGGTGTTATGGGGAGGAGAAGGAGAAATACCCTGGCTGCTGCCTTGCACCCTCATATAACGCAACCTATGGGTGAAACAGGGTTTCTGGGTCCTATCCCCTGGTAATCCTCATCAGAATGGTGGCACTTTGTGTCACCACGTGTTCATCGCCCAGTGTGATGTCCTGGTGGGGGGTTGAACATCATCACCAGGAACACCATCCTTGACCTCAATTTTCCAAGGAGAGCCAATCAAGAGGCAGCAGTCATGGATTAACCAGCTCCTGTCAACTGGCGCTGTGCTTCTCTTGCCTCCCTGTTTACACACTATAACCCTATCACTAGGAAAGACTGAAAAGGGCCAACTATATCCTTTAGAGTGGGTGTGTCAAACATGCAGCCCTCTGCATGCAAAATTTATTACTTTAAATGACTTTTATTAGTTACTGTGTGTGGCCTTCATGGCAACACCAATGTGTTGCCAAAAAAAACGTATGTCAAAATTTTGAATCTTTTGCTCAAACACTAAGTAGCATCTAGATACCATCTACACAATAATAATAACAATCAACTCTACCACAAATATACAGTGTTGACTAAATGCAGGACAAGACAGATGACATGACTGTCATCTGACACCCGTCACAGACAGTGAATGATTTTTTTTTTTAATTATTTTTATTTTCCCCTCCAGCACTGCACCCAGCGACTCAAAAAGTCACTATTCCAGCAAGAATCCAACAGCAGAAACTCCCCGTTCAACCATAAAACGGTTTATAATGGGGCACCCAATTAGGAAATAACTTGCAGTCCAAGATGGATGGGTGCGGTAAATGATCTGTGAAGACTGCCTCAAAATAACGTTCCGCTTAGACATCAGGACAAAAAACATAATTGGAAAAACAAAACCCAAGAAGACGCAGGGTCATATGACTCCGGAATCTGCAAAACAAACTGATGGTATTAAAAAGTGCACACAACTGTACTATTATGCCCCACACACACACAAAAAGACAGATTTTGTCTGGATTATTATCTCAAACGTGAAAAACAATGGCTTCAAATTGTACAGACGCGAGTTCCAATTTATAACAAACTAATGAATGTTACATGCAGACGATCAAACAGTACCTCCCAGAATATGACAATACCTTCATTGAGCTACGTAAAACACCAAGCGGAAAAAATGAACGTGATTGTCTAAAAGAAAAAAAAAACATTGAAATCACAACAAAGAACATGCATATGTGAATATGTGAACCAGAATGAACATAAAAATATGGTAGAATGACACAACGGCTAAGAGTAAAACCAAAACAATCTACAAATCTTTTGTTGTTGAATAACCAACACCCTCTCTTTTGTTTTTAAAATTCTGGTAAATTTTTAAAACCATACTGTAACGAATCATTCATGAAGTCACTGGGTGCAAAACAAATGCTAAGACAGCGAAGAGGAAAAAACCCCCGGAAAAAAAATAGTTTAAAACTACCACAACATGGTTTTTTTTGTTTTTCAAAATGAAAAATTTGTGCAATAAACATAAGACATCACCTTTCATACAGCCATCCATTTAAGATCACAGAAAAAAAAAAAGCACACACAGGTGTGTTGTTTGTCCTTACACAGACATCCTAAGTGTGTACACCAGACACAGACATCCAGATAATACGAAGTACTAGTAAACTGTAATTTGTAACGATTAAGTAGATGATGATGATGGTGTTGGTGGTGGGTACTAAGCAATGATGAATCTCCCCTTTGTAGCTAAAATAACTATGAAAACAGATCAGCTACAGCAACAAGAAATGCGTGCAAGGCGGGCAAGATAGAAAGAGAGAGAGAGAGAAAACAAAGAAATCTGGCTCAAGGTTACTACCAATCTCTGCCAAGAACCATCCCTGGTATATTTTCTTTTCGATGTATGAATGTGAACAGTATGCCTACGCAACAAGGCGGCAGCCAGAGTTGAACAGGATCGCTAGTATCAACTTTTCTAGTTTACTAGATGCATCTAATATCGCCAGGACAGCCAAAAGGCAAGAAATGCAGTTCCAATTTCAGCGTTTTTTTTAATGACAATAAGAAATTTAGGAGCACATGAAGTCACCAACATTGGGTGTTGTTTTTTATGACAATAAGAAATTTAGAAGCACATAAGTCACCAACAATGGGTTTTTTTTTTAAAATCCGACAGTTTTTCATGAAGTGGAAGATCATCACTCGTGTACACAACGGGTCAATGGGTGAAACACTGACCACTGTCTTGTAACTAGCTTAGGCAACAAAATTGTCATTAGAAAATTCCAGACAGCTAGCTACTGGGCAGTTTGAAGAATGAAAGCAGTTAAATAACAGACAGATTATATGTACAGCACCAAAGAGAACTGTCTTTATATACATGTTTGTTTGTTTATTTTCAGAGGTGGGGAGCTTTGTTTTTCATTTTCCTTGCTATGAAAAGACTATCAAAGATGGGCCATCAAACAGCAAGTCCTTACTCATTTAGTCTCTAACAATGTATGATGTGCGAAATGGTCTTTGCAAATTCCACCCAACATTTAATATGCTCTCGTATTTTTTTTTTTTACATTCGACCGGAGCATACTAAGAAAATCTGGCTTCCATAGTATAATCAGCTTCTTTGAAAGTACCCATAGTTTGTCCTATTAGTTATTCAACACATGAGCATCTCCAGCAAAACTGTTTGGTACTAAGAGTTAAAAGCAAAGAACATAACAAATAAGTCCTCATAAAACAAGGAAGAAATTAACACAGACATAAATGCAAAACTGACACCTCTAGGACTATCAAGAGTGTCACAAAACAACAGCCTGTCTTTAAATGCCAAGCAGGGGTGCAGAGATCCATCACCAAATGTGTTAGTGCAGGTGTGCCAGGGGCTAGGCTCAATGCCTATCTATACCACTCTTCTGTCCTCGTAGAAAAAGGTTCCCCACTGGCAGCCTGGCCAACGTAGACAGGACGGGCCGTTCTTTCAAAGTAGGAACACATCTAAGTTGCAAACTTATATTCGGGCATTTCTTATCCAGGGACTCTAGTATATGATGCGAACCCACCTTTTCTTCTGGAAGGCATTAAGTGATGAATCAGCCATACTCTGCAATCCCGAAAAACTTCAATCTTTTAAACAAAATGATACTAAACAGACTGGGCCATCAATTATGCACAGTAAAGACTAGAGTAATCAACCTGCAATGTACCTAAAAACAAAGCTAAAAAACATGTAAAATAAATTGTGCAAATGCCTTCAAACGGGAATGAAAGTTAGAGAACACTGTGGACAAATGAATGAACATTTCAATGAAACTGACATATCCTGGTTAACTTCCAAACTTAAAGAGAAACTCCCATGAACTTATTCCCTAAAAATACTCATAGAAGAGTGCTGGAAAAGTCATTGCTACCTGCTGTATTCTCGTTACATTAATCTGAAAGAAATCATCACCACTCCCGGGTATTATTGTCCCAGCTTCACGTCGAAGACTGGCCTCATTTAGCAACCAATTCTAATCGAAAGGGGAGTGTGTTATATGAAGACTGACATGACACAGTATAGAATGGCAAAAAGGGAGGTGGGGGAAAAAAAGAGGGCGCTCGATAATGGAGTGTACAAATGGAGACGGATAAGAATTCAATGACTGAAGTATTTTTTCATAATTAAAAGAAATGTGTAGATAATAAACCGGCCCTATGTATCACGGGTTCTCAGGATCTTGTTCGCATTCTGCCTGTGAGTCAGAGGTCCACAGCTGAAAGAAAAAAGGAAACGAATGGTGACTTCATCCCTGCAAGATTAATGATGTTTTACTGTGAAAAGGAAACAAATGGTGACTTCATCCCTGCAAGATTAATGATGTTTTACTGTGAAAAGGAAACAAATGGTGACTTTCTTACTGCAGGGTTAATGTTTTACTGTGAAAAAGGAAAAAATGAGGACTTCATTACTGCGAGGTTAATGATAGCGAAAAAGGGAAACAACTGGTCACTTCATTACTTTGAGGTTAATGATGTTACTGTGAGAACAAAACTTTTAGGTGTTGATCTACTCTCTCAGTCTATGAGTGTATTGTGAGTACCTGTTTTGTTGAATGTGCCGATCTGTCATGTGTACTAGCTTTGTTGTGTGCCGGTCTTGTAGTGAGTGTTAGGTTTGTTTTGTGTACCTGTTTTGTGTGTCCTTGTTTTGTTGTGTGCAATTGTATGCTAGTTTTGTTGCGTGTCCTAGCTTTGTTTGTTTCCTGTTTTTTTGTACTAGCTTTGTTTTGTGTACCTGTTTTGTTGTGGGTGCCTGTTTAGTTGTGTGTACTAGTTTTACTGTGTGTGCACTATCTTGGTTCTGAGTGCTAGTTTTGTTGTGAGTACTAGCTTTGTTTATGTGGCTCTTTTGTGGTGTGTGCGTTTTGTTGTGTGTGCTAGTCATGCTGTATGTACCAGTTCTGATGTGTGCCCTTTTGTTTTGTGTGCTTCTAAGTTGTGTACGTCTGAGCTGTGTACGTGTAAGCTGTGTACGTGTGAGCTGTGTATGCCCATTAGGCTGTGTGCAAATATTCTGTTATCTTAGCTTGAGTTGCCTGCACTTATACAGCCGATAAAAAAATGAAACACAAAAAAGCAAGGACCCACTGGTACACTGTGGCCTACAATGCTAGACTTATTTAGTTCAAATGGTACCCGATGACCAATATGGTTAACATCATACCAGCCACCTTGATTTCCCATGACATTTCATTGTAATTAAGACTCTTAGAATATCCTTGTCGAGAAGACAGCTATCCTATTCTTTTTTTCTCCACAGTGGGGCCTCGGAACTCACAGGGGCTTCACATCAGAATTCAACTTTCAATCATTCGCTTCCTTAAAGAATGCCGTCGCCATCACAGCACGCCTGACAGTTTCTCTTTCTCTAGCCAACTGTCCAGTCCTGTGTGCTTTCATAGCCAATGAATCTTTAATGTCCTGCATCCACTTTCATGAAAGTCTGCCTCTGCCTCATCTTCCAAAACCTTTACATAGCCTAAACAACTCAGCTTCTGGGACAGGATGTTGTTTATAAGCCAATTCTCCTTGATTGTCAGATTATGTAGGATTTAGCCCTACTTATTTTAATTTCATTTTCTCATAGTCCATGCTGTGTGGCATTGGTAGTCTGATCTATCCAAAGCTGCCTGTCTCATGTATATTGAATCACTTCTGACAGATCCCCCCTCCCCACCTGCATGACATGATGCCAAACATTCTTTCAAGTTTCCCTTCTGCTTCTCTTCCCATCGCAACTTTCCTGCTCAACAATATACTCCAGTTCTTCTCCCTTCTCATGACCTGACCAAATAATATAGATTATCTTCTGATGCAGATAGAAAGAATTATGCTGACATAGACTTTGGTCGAAACATTCACTTGTAACTGTGCATATCTATCTCTTCATATTTTATGTATATAGATTATCTCCTGATGCAGATAGAAAAAATTATGCTGACATAGACTTTGGTCGAAACATTCACTTGTAACTGTGCACATCTATCTAGTCATATTTTATGTTATACTTACTTCTTGCACCCGTGTGGGTTTCAGGGCCATATTGTAGGAAAAACAAAAACAGACCCACCGCCAGTTCAAAAGCATGTCATAAAAGTTGACTAATTGGGACCTTCCTTTGAAGTCAGAGTGCATCTGACAGAGGCAAGGAACTAACAGTCTGCATAAAAAATGAGTTGAATCTTTAAAAAAAAAAACAGATGCGCACGCAATAATCAGATGTTGGGACAGGATTACAGACCAGAAGTGGATGAACAATCAGAACTACGGCAGGTGAATGTGAAGAAGAAGAAAGTACCTCTTGTCATCAACTCGACTGCCATCTCCCCCTTCCCCCCTCTTATGTCATTACATTACTTTCTATCTATGCCTACTGACAATTAATGTAAAACAAGTCCTACTTACTGTAAGATTGTCTCTTAACAGCTGCATTATCAAAGTACTGTCTTTGTAAGACTCTTCATTCAGCTGATCTAACTGAGCGATGGCATCATCGAATGCCTGCAGAACAAATTATATCAAATGCATTTTAAAAACATTTTCAACACCAAAATAAATCCTTACAAAAATACACACACACACATTTATTTCTGAACCATCTGTCGGTTTATCTGCAGTGTTCAACATGGTTACAAGAGCCACTTTGCTGTGATTGCTAAATTGCGTTACTTTGCTGTTATAAAAAAGGAATATGCGCCACTTGTTGGTGAACTGATGTATGACAAGCTAGATGTTGTGAGGGCCCATTGGGAGCAAGTGAACAGGGCACAAACAGATCATCACGGTCTGAGGTGAATGGCGCTGCAGGGAATTACCATGGGATCTGCTGACGCTTTGGTGCTGCAGGGAATTACCATGGGATCTGCTGACGCTTTGGTGCTGCAGGGAATTACCATGGGATCTGCTGACGCTTTGGTGCTGCAGGGAATTACCATGGGATCTGCTGACGCTTTGACGCTGCAGGGAATTACCATGGGATCTGCTGACGCTTTGGTGCTGCAGGGAATTACCATGGGATCTGCTGACGCTTTGGTGCTGCAGGGAATTACCATGGGATCTGCTGACGCTTTGGTGCTGCAGGGAATTACCATGGGATCTGCTGACGCTTTGACGCTGCAGGGAATTACCATGGGATCTGCTGACGCTTTGGTGCTGCAGGGAATTACCATGGGATCTGCTGACGCTTTGGTGCTGCAGGGAATTACCATGGGATCTGCCGGCGCTTAATACTCGCAGAAAGGCGAATGTACAATCAGACAATTACTGGTACCACTGGAACTGAAACTCTTCGCTCTCTGTTGAATTTGGGGATGCAGCGCTTATGGTAATGCCACGACTGCTGTGATGGTGATTCTTAATTCAACATAACAAAAAGAATTTAAAATTCAATATTTCCAAACAAAGGTAAGTAAAGGACACATTTGGTGCATTAGAAAATGTCTCAGACCTAGAATTTTATAGATCAATCGGCACTTGAGATGTGTGGTCAACATCCAGCCAGGCGGCTCAATATTGTTTTTTCTAGGACATTACCTTTTCACTTTAGACCAGACACTGATTTCAGAGCCAAGGTGATTTAACCTCCACCACGACCCCCCCCCCCCCCCACCACACAAAAAAATGAATCAATGTGGAGTTCAACGCATGTACACTTTGATGGAAGGCTCTGGTTGCTCATCCATTTCCTAGACTTTGGTCTTGCTCTAGAACTGGAGCTTTGCATGCACATCCGTTTTACAGACCTAGCTTTTTTGTATGCAAACTGTTGGTGCCTCACCATTCAAACAGATACACTGCAACTAACACCCCTAATTAGTTGCCTCTTACAGCATGCTTGCTAGGAGCAGGGTTCATAGCCAAATTTACCAATCAATTTCAAGGCTTTTCAAGGTCTTTTTCAAGGTCTTCTTAGTTTTTTTCAAGGTTGTCTCGGTGTAATACTAATACAAGATTTTTGCCTTGTTCAAGGGTGTACTGAGCACACAAGGTACTTCATTTGTGCCACATGTGTTGGTATACCAGCACAGATATCATCATCATGCAGCATTTCCTTTGTCCTGACAAAAAAAAACTCGGTCTCTCACCAGCTCTCCCGCCTCATGTACTTTTTTATACTCAAGGAGTCACTTATATCCTGTGTCCATCTTCGTGTTGGTCGGCCCCTGAGCTTGATATAGTGTTTGAAATTTTTTTTAGGGCTTGGTGGTAGAGGGCAGCAAACTGAAGTCCTGTCTGTTCTGGACCTGGTACCTGAGAGGGTTAGGGGAGAGAGAGAGAGTCATGAAGAGAGAGGAAGACACATGCTGAGGTAGGCTGGGAGAGACAGTGTAAAGATGGACAGATGAAGGTAGAGAAAAGAAGGAAAAGAAGTCTGGGGAAGGATGAAAAAATGAGAGGGAGGGATGGAAACATGATGAGGAAAAGTGGGGAAGGGACAGCGAAAGACAGAGAGGGAGACAAATACAGAAAGAGGGAATGCAGATACAGAGATGGGCAGATGATAAGAGAAGGAAAAAGGGAACGAAACAGAGATATGGAAGGAGGAAAATATGACAAAGAGTTGAAAGAAGGGAGACAGAGGGAGAGAGAACGGACAGGGTGAGAAGCAGATGCAAGCAGAGAGAGATGTAGACATAAAGGAGAGAGAGACAAAGGGACAGCACAGAGAGGCAAGCAGACAGAGGGAGAGAACCAAAGAAAGAGAAAAAAGGCAGAGCAGGAGAATGGGAGGGAGGTATACAAAGAGAAAGTGATGAAGGGAGGCAAACAGACATAAAGCAAGAGAGAGAGAGAAAGGTGGGTAAGGAAGGCAGTGACAAACACAGATTAAGAGAGAGGGGGGAAGGAAGGGAGACAAGATACCTCAAAGAAAAAAAACAGCCACCCACTCCCCCCCCCCCCCCCCCACACACAATTTCAAGTGTAGTGGACACAACCACTAGGAAAAGATAGTTATGGGGCAAAAAAATATGTAGATGAACCAGGTAAAAAAAATGGGGGGGGGGGGGGGGGGGGGGGGGGGGGGAGAGAATGAGAGAGGGGAGCGGGTAAGGAAATCTAGAGAAAATGAAAAGACAGGATGGAGAGGAGACAAAGAAGAGATGGGACAGGAGAAAGGGCAAGGAAAGGAAGAGAGGAAGAATGGAGAGAGAAAGGAGAATAGTAGAAGATCAAAGGAAAGAGAAGGGGTGAGAGAAGAAAGGTAAGACACGGTTGTGGGGGTGGGGGGTGTAAGAACAATGAGTGCCCAAAATAGAATTAGGAAATCTCTAAGTGAGGCCACTTTTCCGGTTCCTACCCTCTCCCAATGTGAATGTGGCCGTGGTCCAAAAACAACAGTGCTAACCCCTACTGCCCCTTGCTTGTCCTATCTGTGTGTGACAACAATAATTCAATTTCTTACACTTAAGGCTGGTGACCTGAGAGCCAAGGTCATTTTATGAAGAAAAAAAAAAGTCCAGGGGATCCCAACCCACCACTGGTGGAAAATAGAGAAGTTTACCCACACACATAAATAGGTCAGACACATAAATAGGTCAGGGCAGCAGTGGACTTCATTTTATTTCTGGTTTTCCAATTACAGAAAGGAGGGGAGAGAGGAGGTGGTGGAAAGTGGTGTAGAAGGCTGAGGTGGTAAGGGTGAGACAGAGGAGGTGAGAGAATAAAGTTTAAGAAAATAAAGTGGGAATGAGACAGGGAGAGAAAGAAGGGAGTAAGAAATAAGATGAGATATAGAGGGAAGAAGGTAGCAGGAAGGGGTGCACTCCCTCCCCTAGGTGTCATCAATGTGGGAGGAGAAAAGGGGGGGGGGGGGAAGGTGACGGCAAATGTGTTTTTAAAAGTACACATATATTTAATGTGTGGGAGGGGGGAATGATGGACATGAAATGTTCTGCACTAGGCAACACTAAACCTTATACACCAACTGAAGGTATGGAGAAAGAAAGAAAGAGAGAGAGAGAGAAAGAGAGGGAGGGAGTGAGGGAGAGCGGCAAATACAAAGAGAGAGAGGAAAGCAGTGACACAGACAGTCAGAGAGTGAGGAACAGGTAGGACAAAAATGTGAGGGGGCGGGAAGGGAGATGGACAGAGATTAAGGCCGCTAGGAAAACAAACACATCAAAAGAAAATATCCACCATGTTCACACAGAATGCCCCCCCCCCCCCCCCCCAATACAACTTCCTGTGTACTTGAGTTGCTAGGAAGAGTTATGGAGCCGCACATTTACTAAACATTTAAACAAGAAATAAAATAGGAAAAAGGGGGAGGGGGGACATGAAATGAGAAAGTAAAAGGAAAGATAGAGAGAAAGAGAAGAAGATGAAGATCAGAAGGGAGGGTTAGAGACAATGCAGGAGACGGGAAGGAAGGAGCAATAGGTAGAAGAGTGAAAGAGGGAGGGAAGAGAGAGAGAGAGAGGGGTGAGACAACAGAAGAGGGAATCTCGGGGAATTACAATACTGATCGCCAAACACACTGTAAAGATAAATCCAGGCCAAAAATAGAACTGGGAAATCCAGCTGCAGTCACTTTGCTTAGCCCCAATGCCATCTCTAATTAATAGAGAAGGCCGTGCTTAGCCCCCACCACGGCGACTCTATTTATAAATACAACTGCACCGAGCCCCACCATCTCCCAATGTAATCCTTTCTCTAAACCACGGCCATAAACGATTTAAACTGTTCATTCTGCCGGACTCGCTAGAAACAAAGGCACACACACACGCGCGCGAGACGGAATCTGCTACTTCCAGCCCCATGCCACACCGCTGCTGTCTGCATGTTTTCATGATCAGCAACAAAGCCCGCCCTCCCCTGGCCTTTAACAAGCCATTTCGGCTGAAAATAGCCAATAATCAGCTGCCCTCACACCTGAAACGACCATACAACGAAAGTAGCCAAAAACTAGCCAAATGGCCAAAAAAGCCAAATGGCTCCCTCAAAATTGCCTGTGCTGAAAAACACAGGATTTCTGACGATTTCATTGCCGCGGTCAAAATTCACGGGTTTTTAAGGTCGGAATGTCTTTTATAAGCTAAAAATCCCGGTTCAAGGTCAACGAAAAAAATCCCGGTAATTTCCCGATTTCCCGGTCCACTACGAACCCTGTAGGAGGCCTGTGGTTTTTTTTTTATTCGCTTTTCCCCAAAAGGAAAAATATTGATTTCAAACTGACTTTCAGGCCAGCGAATAGCCACTATGCTGTTTCCAAGTGTTTGGGACTAATAAATTCTGTCAGGCTTTTGGTTCTGTCAATGCTTGAACGCTACCCTATTTGCAAAAAATGAAATTATACTATCGTACTAATAAAAAAACTTGGAGAGAATCAATGACACCTCTTTTAAAAAAGAAACACTGGTGACATGCAAGCACACACTAGTTTCTTTTATACTCTTCACACTTTTACCCCCAAAAGCCGCAAAATTTACAGCTGTAGTAAATTCCCCATAAATGTTACATTTTTGACTTGTCTACTGTGATCTATTTATGAGACATACAGTTAACGCAACTGGCTGAATCTAGGCCTGCACAAACATTTATGAAGTCAGGGTGTGAAAAGCTAAATGAAGCATTTAGGGGGATTCTTCAAACCAAATGGTTGGTTTCTTAAAATATAGACATCAAATTTTCCCACAAGCCTCAGTGATATAGGTTACGGTATGTGTCACCCGATAGATATTTTTTCTGCAGGTCCTGGGGTATTTGATGCTTTACTCTGTTCATGTTTATTGATTGCTGCCTTTATATATCTTTAAATATGTCAACAACTATACAGTTTATGGCACACAAAAGATCAGGCACATGACCAGAGATCGCTGGCAATGAAAAAACCAAGACCTCCAGACAGGCAAGTTACCTAGCTACAGCTGTGGCTCGCCAAAATCAGTGGCTGCTGCACAAGAGGAACTGTATACTCTTCTAATCACTCCAGGGGTTTCACAATACAACACAAACATTTAAAGAAGAAAAAAACAGACTTACTGATTTTGCCAATTTGCAGGCCTCATCGGGTTCATTCATGATCTCATAGTAAAAGACAGAAAAGTTTAGAGCCAGTCCTAGTCTAATCGGGTGTGTTGGCTGCATCTTCTCTTTAGCTATTTCCGTTGCTTTTTTGTATGCTTCATTTGATTTGCTTACATAATCTGTGAATGACAGGTAAGTGTTTATGAGACCCTTGCAACACATTAACCAAATCATTATAACTAATTCACAGGTTTCGTCAATATATTTAGTGAGCACAGATGTACTAATAAATTTAGTTTAGAAGTCTGTACTACTCTTCTTCTGCATAGGCTCACTAGAATAGTGGTAGACTGTTCTTTTGTGGTTTACAACTAAGCTGTGATATCTGCGCCTTTCAACCCAACATATCCAATTTCAGCAAACCTTAATGAGTCACCTTTTGCAACTTTCTTTTAAAGCATTCTTCCCCCAAAATGTTGCGTGTACGTCCGTTTTACTGGCTTATGTGTGTGCAAGCTGGTTGTTCCTTGCTGCTCGAGCAGCTGCGCTCCGACTCCCAATTAGTAGGCTCTTATGACATGCTTATTGGAGTGGCAGTATGTCTCTTTTTGTCTTCCACACAACCGGGCCCTGGAACCCCCAAGGGGATATCTTTTCATGAAATCCTGTGAACTAGAACAGCTGATGAAATGATGGACACATTATCCCCTAGGTCAAGAGTGGTTTACAAAAAGCAAAATGCCTAGCACCATTTACCCAATGGTGGGAGGAGGGTCCTTTACTTTGTTTACTATGGCTGCAAAAGTCAACTATGCAGTGTATTCTTATGCTCCACCGGGAGACAAAAGGATGAAGAACAAGACAAAGGAAGGAAGGGAAAGGAGGGAGATCCATTGCAGCCAAGCTAACTGATTACAGAAATAGGCAAACTGCATTAGAAGAATGTTTAGTGAAGACTATCATGACAGCACTCCAGTCAGATCTGGGTGCTTCAATCTTCTCCTCAGTTGCTCCACAAGAGAAAAATGACTATCACTCCTAATTTGTATTGATTCTCCAGATGCCTTGTTCCCTTGGTGAAATGTTCATATCTGGCTACTCCCCCATGTCCACCAACCTGGACAAGGATACTGTGTCCTGCTTGTTGTCATGATCTTCTCTGCGATATGCAGTTCGCATGTCATTAATGATATTTCTGTCCAGTGCAGGGCCAGTCCTGTTAACTGTCTTGTCTGCCAGATAATCTGCACGCTCGCTGCATTGAACACCTGCAGGGCCCGGCACAAATATAAAAGTTGGGTGAGTAATTTGTGATGCATTTAATGCGAATCCTGGTTTAGAGGTATGATGTCTGCTTTTAACAAGTCTGGGTGAGAATCAGACATGATGCTCAACACCACATAGCATAGAATCTTTATCAGACTTGTTCTATTCCATCTGTCTGTCTTTACCAGCTGATGGTGTAGGACGGGTGACAGGGGCGGTGAGCCTAAGGATTTAAGGCCATGCCCAGTGCAGCTGCCATGAACTAAATAGGCTCCAGGGGGAGACCATTTTGGAGACCCCCCACCCCCAAAGCATGTTATAGGATGCAACTCATTATGGGTGTCAAAAGTCAGAGTACATCTGTCCGAGAGGCGGTGAACCAATAGACTGCCTACAAATAAGCCAGATCAGTTTTTTTTAAAAAAAATCCACTTTTGGATCAAGACCAAAGTCCAGGAACGAGCGAACATCCAGAACTTTCCACCAGAGTTTACAGCCAGTGACATCTCAGAAGATTTTGTCCCCAACCAAATAAAACATACCTAACTGATGATCAAACCTGGGTTTTCCAATCAACAAAAAGTGTAATGTTTGTCAATAACAATGGTCATATAACAAACACTAATCTCACTTTTCCTTTCATCGCCCACTGACACCTCCGACAAGTAACGGTAGTAGTCGCCCTGCATTTTGAGGTAGAACACTAGGCTATCATGATGGGTGTTATCGTCCTGGGCTTTCTGAATTAGGTACTTGCTCAGCAACTCCTGAAATGGCACAAATTGTACTTATAGACTACCATAGCAAATATAAACAGAAAATTGATTTTTAGAAAAGTAAGTTATCAAACTGAAATTTTCCTTCAAAGTTGACCTTGAAAGGCAGAAAATTAAACTACACAAACAAGCCAGTAAAAACGGATGTTTTGCAAAACTCAGGGTCTTGTTCAAAGGACTTTCCATCGGAATTCACAGCCGGTTAATAGAAAAAAAAAAAACTAGAGACAACAGTGCAGATATAATCTATTTCAAGCGAAAAAAAAAAAGAAGCTGAAATAAAAACCTGAGTGATTAGTTGCTGCTAAACTGAACATACACAATCAAGTGAAACATGATATTATCAAAGAGAAGCACAACATCAAATAACCTAGTCATCTCACTATTCTCCTTCTTCACGTTCACCAGCTGTAAACTCTGGCAGAAAGTTCTGGTTGTTCGTCCATCTCTGGACTTAAGTCTTGTTCCGAACCTGATTGTTGCATGCACATCTGTTTTACAGATCTGACTGATCTGTATATAGATTGTTGGTTTTTCACCTCTCAATTGCACCGGGTTCTATCCCATACGGCTCAGTTTCTCTCTGCAGAAAAGCTGGCTGCTTGCAGAGAGTGCTGCACAGAGCATAAACTGTAGCTCCAGCAACGATCCCCCGAGATCTCCATAAATATTACACTCTTGAAGTGAACAAAGCAGCCTATAAAATGGATCTACAAACTTCAGAGTACAACCCAATGGCTTGACTATTTAGCCACAGAGACCCCCAAACAGCTTGACCACTTAGCCACAGCGACCCCCAAACAGCTTGACCACTTAGCCACAGCGACCCCCAAACAGCTTGACCACTTAGCCACAGCGACCCCCAAACAGCTTGACCACTTAGCCACAGCAACCCCTAAACAGCTTGACCACTCAGCCACAGAGACCCCCAAACAGGAGATTTTGAAGGCAAATGCTTCATCACGAGCGCCAAGCTGCTAAAAGTGATTTAAACAAATTTTTCGAACAATACAATTCCAATATGCTCAAAAAATGAATTTCTTTACAAGAAGGAAAATAATCACTAAATACAAACACAGCAAAGAATTACCTGCTATCCTCCTAACTGATCATAATAAAATGTGGTTTTGTTGACTTATTCAGGTTCAGAAAAGTAATCTCTTATGGCAGGGCTATTCAACTGTTTAGTGGGGAAGGGGGGGGGGGGGGGGGGGGCGCCAAAATGTTGGAAATGGGAATAGTCACAAGCCAGAGGCCTAAGCATAGAAAGATCATTAATACAGTACAACTGCCAAAGATCTGTGGCCCACTTGCTAGGCCTCTGTTGGCCAGATCCGGCCGACCAGTTGAACAGCCCTGCATCATGGGATTATTAATACATTAGGACTGATGTAATGTGTCTCAGTGTCCTTGCTTATTACAGAAGAAAGTAAAGCAACATAAAATATATTGACAACATGCAGTCTGATTATGGAGGTCATTTTTGTGTCAGGGCACGCAGGCATGCAAGGAAAGGAGCAAGCTGGTAGGCTTGCAGGTAATGCTACTGTGAAGGGCGGAGAAGCCATGGACAGTGCTGATATAGTGAATGCTCTACAAGAAGACATCTGCGAGAGCCATGTGACTGAATCTGCAACCCTGACCAGGACTGCAAGAATAGAAAGTCAAAAATGGAGTTACTAGACATGAGCACTATGCAGGAAGCCATAGAATAATAATAAACCCCCGTGTCGGTTCCGGGGTTCCATTGTGGGGAAAACAAGAATAGACCCACTGCCTCCCCAAAAGCATGTCGTAAGAGTGAACTAATTGGGGAGCTTCCTTTGAAGTCGGAGTGCATCTGCCGGAGAGGCAAGGAACCAACAGTCTGTATTCAAGAGAATGAGATCTGTAAAACTGATGCACACGCAACACTCTGGTTCTGGAGCAGGACCAGTTCAGTAGTGGACGAGCAACCAGAACTTTCCGCCGAGTGTACAGCTGGTGAACGCAAAGAAAAAGTAGAATAATAATAAACATAGAACTGGTGTCAGCTGCTACACACTGAGGGATTTACTGAGGAGGGGGTCCGAGCACTTGAAGACTGAATGGCTCAACTTGTAATAAGGATAATCTAACTATAAAGGTCATGACAGCAAATAAACCAATAACCTGGTTGGAGACAAAAACCTTCACTATGGCATGCTTTATCAGTGATGCAATGAGAAGGGACAGGAAGACAAAAGGTGGGCTGGGTCTTCTTCTTCTTCTTCTTGTTCACCGGCGGTAAGTCGCGGTTGTTCGTCCAAATAGACTTTTGGATTTTACCTTGACCTGAGTTTTGCGTGTACATCTGTTTTACTGGCTTATTTGTTTGCAGTTCTCGTTCCCCGTCTCTCCGGCAGATGTACTCCGACTTCGAGGGAAGACGTCAAGTCTATTTCTAGGTTGACTGTGGCCATTGTTTTGTGTGGGTCGAGATGTTGCCTCATTTGTGTGGTGTCCTTTTTTACCTTTAACAGGTGTGGCCCCCGGAATATCGTCCTTAAGGCAGCCCTAGGTAGAATTTTCAGCCCTCAAGGGAAGGCAGGGGCAGATCATGGGCATTCCCCGCCATCCAAGGAGGCTTCCATAAATGCAGAGCCGACACATGATGCTCTGGTTCTGGGCTCACCCAAGGAATCGTCACGTCCTGCCCATGACTGCTTAACCTCACAACCGTGTATTGAGCTTCCCGCGCTACAAGGCAGCGCTCTTCGGAGATCAGCGGGGAGCAGACCGCAGGTCCAGGACTTTTGTGGCCACACAAATAGGTACATTCTTTTTCATCGTACGTTAGACACCTTTAACGCTGTTTCAGCTGTGCCCTTAGCACGACAGAATGGGGAAGCAAAATGCGTCAGGCGTGGCTTCACCTGTTTGGTTCCAACACTCGCGTGAGTGGGACCAGTGGATACGGACATTTGGACTTTTTCCTAATCGGTACGAATTATGATCGTCGGACTTTGAGCTTGCATGTGTGCCGTGGGGTATAACTTTGTCGGACATTATTTCCTAGCCAATATATGAAAAGTTGCTGCCGTGGTGTACCTCAGCGCGGTGACGACGACACTGAGGATTGACAGAGGATGTACGTAGGTAGGATCTTGCTGCGAGAAGTCGCCCACAAGAGATGTTACTCGTCTTGGCTGCGGGTAAATCTCTCGGTCAGGGTTGAGTCTCAGCCGCACAGTTTTCCATTCGCTCCCGAATTTTAACCGAGAGTTGTCATTTGATGGTAAATTTAGCAAGCAATCCTTGAGTTTTGTTAGACTTTTCACCCATGCGTTTGGGCGCGGGCTGGTGAGAGCCAGAAAGGACACTACACCTCTAGGGGCCGCCAGCTCCGAGATCCCCTGCCAACTCTGTTAATGCTCATTTGAGACATTATCCGTGGCGCACGACGGGGACGTGCAGCAGGAGTCTTGCATGAGGTTCCGTAAAACCAGAACAGTGAAGGACGGGCGCCCGAGTGGGGTACAGAGTATCTCCTTATACACATCACATCAGACTTTACTTCGCCTCATGCCTGTGACCGAAATCACCGCACCACAGGCTGGGTCTGAAGACAGTGCTTGGTGTCTCCGAGGGGTCACATGGCAAGGCTACTGTGGAGGGCTGACAAGCCATGGATCAAGGTGAAATATTGAATGTACTACCTGAAGTAAGATATCTACGAGAAGCAAGTCATGATTATGAATGTGCAGCCATGATTAGAGTGTAAGAACAGCCAATTAAAAGTGTGCGTGACCAAAAAGAATAAATAAACCAATACAGAACTTCGGCTACCCTCCGAATAACGGTCCCAAATTATCAAGGCCGAAAATATACCCTAACAGGGCCTCAGTCACATGTCAATTGCGGACTTTCGGCAACTTGAATTGCGCACTCCTGGCGACTTCCGCCACCACCGAGAGAATCTCCCATGCCGCTACGTGCACTGTGGATTGGGGGTGAACTAGACTGCTGGGACTTACAAGCAGCAGCTACCGCACCTCCTACAGCTTCCTTTATTTTATTTGCTAGTGAGTCACAGCCATCTAGTTTAGCCCCAATCCACGCGGCACGTAGCGGCGTGGGAGATACTCTCGGCGGTGGCGGTATAGTCCCCGGAAGTCCGCAATTCGGCAGTGGCGGTATAGTCCCCAGAAGTTTGCAATTGACATGTGACTGAGACCCTGTTAGGGTATATTTTTAGCCTCGATAATTTGTCTATACTTATGAGTAATTACTAATTAGTATAACAACTTCTAATAAAAAAATGTCTGCCTTGAGGTTCTGAATACATGATCACGCTATCTATGCCGCAGTCACATGTCAACTGCGGACTTCCGGTGACTTAAATTGAGCACTAACGGCGACTACCGCCACTGCCGAGAGTATCTCCCACGCTGCTATGTGCGGCGTGGAGCTAAACTAGATGGCTGGGACTCACAAGCAGCAGCTACCGCACTTCCTGCAGTTTCCTTCATTTTATTTGCTCGTGAGTCTCAGGAGATACTCTAGGCGGTGGTCGCCAGAAGTGCGTAATTTACATGCGACTGAAGCCCTGGGTATATTTTCGGCCTCGATAATTTGGGACTGTTATTCGGATGATAGCCCATGATCACTGACTTAGCAATCAAGGCAGGGCATTCTTTTTTGACATTTAGAGTACTTACTATGCTGACAGAAACAAGTATGCAGGTATGACCTCTGCTTCTATTTTAACTATCTAAAGAGAAGACTGCTGGGTGGGGATCAGTGTAGTGTGAATTTTCACAAAATAAATCAAAAAAAAAAAATTGTATATATCCATTCAGCATATCTCTCCTAACCAAAAACTGTGACACCCGATGATGATAATGATACGAAACACACCTCATGCCATGAAGCTGATGATTCAGTCACTGCTGCACTGCATAAATTCTGCCGACCTAACAATATTTTGATATTTGTAACAGTAAATAATACATCATAGGCTCAAATCAATGGGGTTCAGTCGACAATGCCCTGTCGTCTGTGGTACGGTGTTAAGTAAGAGACAAATCAGTGTCAGTCAACCAAATCAAACGACTTTATTACTTAGCAACAACACATCAACACAACTCCCAACATAAGGATGCTACTGACAAGGAGGTGGTGTGACTATGACGATACACAATTATCCTCAGGAATAACTTACCAAAACGTCGTTGCATATGGCTTTCAGCTCTTCCTCAATGATCTCTCGGTATTTCTTTGCCATCTGAAGCTTTGATTCGCTTCCTTCTGTTTTAGATTCTATGCTTGAAACGACTCTCCATGCCGACCTACGTGCTCCAACGACATTCTTGTAGGCAACAGACAGAAGGTTCCGTTCCTCGTTGTCGAGAGGAGCTCCTGCCGACTCCGAATAAACGTAGTTGACGCATTTCTTCATTGCTTCGGCCATATCATCATACCTTTCAGCCTGCTCTGCAAGCTTCGCTCGGTGTACACATTGCTCCTTGGTAGGACAGTTACTCATTTTAAAAGCCTAAAATTTGTTTGAGCAGACCACGGTTCCGCTGGAATGACACAAGAATATTCCAAGATGGCGAGTGTCTTGCCCTACTTTTGGATATTACTCACATAATTCAATATCACTCACATGTAATGCACACATAAATTGTAAAAGATAATATAGAATAACATTACTCTATTTGAGAATTTAATCTGCTTACTACAAGCATCATTCCTTCATTATTTGTGACAAGATTCTGAGTAACAGGTGGAATTATATTTGCATGGGTAATTTCACTTCCGCAAAATGCTAAAAGCATCAGAAGTGTATCAGTGCGCGGTACCGGGAGTGAGAATGTTCGTCAGAAGTGCTTGACGTCACAGGTTCCTATGGAAACCACAGAGACTAGATATTGAAAAATCATCATTTTTACATTGTCTTTCCACGAAATATGTACCATCTTTTCTGTTTTATAATTTCCCTGTTGTGTGGATGTAAATGAGTACCTGACCCTTTATTTATGAGTTATGATTTGGGTTATCTTCACGGCACTCACGACATGTCCATAGATACTCAGATTCCCCTTTCAACGTACACATCAACATCCCGCGGTTGATAGTCCCAGACCTTTTTCGGTTGACAAAACGTCTCGAGCGTCCGGTGTGCTTCTCGTGTCTAGCCGATCTTTACTCCCAGTTCTTGCACTCTAAGCAAAGATGTGGATGTGTTGCTCCCAAATCCACCGATCGTCCTACCTTTCCCATGTCTGCATGATCCATGGACCGGCTCTCTGTACCTAAGGTGGAGCCGGTTAATCTGTCGGTTCTTTTATTGCCAGCAACAGCCACATACAATGGGACACCGTTGGTAACTCTAAGCACAAAATGTTGGGGGAGATGATAGGATCGTTTGTGCGCTTCTTCCAATTCAGTGTACAAGTTGGTGTTCATTTCTGTTGGGTTGCTCTTGATGATGTCTCTCCATCTCTTGCGTGGTCTTCCCCTCGATCTGTATTCATTATATTTCTTCGGCGTGGCTCTCTGTGGCAGTTGGTACTAGGGTATTCTTGTCAGGAGGCCAAACAATCTTATTTGTTGTTCTTTAATGGATTGTATGACTGGTGTCAGTCCTAGTCTTCGACTAATTTCTTTATTCTTTTTTTTTTTCTTCTCTTCTTGTCACACAGGCAGCTCTTCTAAGACATCTCATCTCTGTTATTACGATCTTCCGCTCGTTAGTTGAAGTAAGGGTCCATGTTTCGCACTGGTAGCACAGTGTCGGCCAAAAAAAACATTCTTATGAGATTTGCTTTGGTTGACAGAGGTATCTTTCTGTGCGTCAAAAGCGGTGATTGTCTCATAACCTGATTTGCTTTCGGATATCGTTACGTATGTTGATTTCTCTATCCATTCTTATATGCAAACTGGGCAAATGCTGAGTGGGGAAAGGGGTGGGGTGGATACTAAAGAATCAAATTTTCTTGGGCTTTCTATTGTGTTTATGGGTGCAAAAAAGTTACTGATAATTTATGTATCAGATTGTGTGACAGCCGATAGTATGTTCAAAATTTTCATGCTCTTTTCCGGCCACACATTTCAGCAAATACTAACTGAAATATAATAACAGTACTGCAGGGTTTGTCCTGATTATATTTACACAAGCTCTGTAGTTTCTCGCATGCGCCGTGGGTGGGAAAATCTTAGCCTGGATTGGGTGGTTTGGGGTTGGGGGGGGGGGGGGTGGGGTGTTAGCTACGTGTTGCAACCAGTCGCAGTTGACATACTGATTATCAAACAGCATCTTGCCTCAGAAGCTGAAATATTTTAGTCATATCAAACGCCATGCTGTATTAGTAAACGTAATAGCATTAGGCATTGTGCCAGGGAGGAGGGGCAGTGGCCGAAGAACACGAAGATGAGTACATGATTTAATGAGTGATTCCTTGAATATGAAAGTACACGAGGCAGGGAGAACTGGTGACAGGCCGAGCTTCTTCCATATAGACCGTGATGAGACGCACGTTCTGCAAAGGACAAACCACACGATGATGATGATTCTTCTACTGGTTTACCGGTTGTGAGCTCCGGCGGAAAGTCCTGGTTGTTAGTCCGTTTGGACTTCTAGGTTTGTTCCAGGACCTGAGTTTTCCGTGTAAATACGTTTTACTGTGTTCCCTGTTCTTGGGCAGATGTACTCCGACTTCGAGGGTTCTAATTTTAACACCGAGACTCAGTAGCGACAGAGGATAGACACTTAACCTCCTGTCAGTTGTGCACAAAATTAATAGTCGAGTGGAACTGGAAAAATTAAACTGCCAAATTCGTATCGACATTAGCTCTTAAAATCATCTTATGCTATTTATACATGACAGCATCATCTTATCATGATCTCTCACCAGATCTTCCGCCTCTCCTACCCCAGGTGTCATGTGTGTGTACGTGCGCGCGTGTGCGTATGTATGTATGTATGTATGTATGTATGTATGTATGTATGTATGTATGTATGTATGTATGTATGTATGTATGTATGTATGTATGTATGTATGTATGTATGTATGTATGTATGTATGTATGTATGTATGTATGTATGTATGTATGTATGTATGTATGTATGTATGTATGTATGTATGTATGTATGTATGTATGTATGTATGTAGTATGTATGTATGTATGTATGTATGTATGTATGTATGTATGTATGTATGTATGTATGTATGTATGTATGTATGTATGTATGTATGTATGTATGTATGTATGTATGTGTGTGTGTGTGTCTGTGTGTGTATGTATGTATGTATGTGTGTATGTGTGTGTGTGTGTGTATGTATGTATGTGTGTGTGTGTATGTATGTATGTATTATGTAACCAGAGATCTGTATGATGCCCTAAATATCGGTGGTCTTGAAATACTAGAGATCCGATTTGCAGATGATACAGTATTGCTATCCACATCACAGACTGGTATAGAAAACTTAATCACCTCATTCCAAGAAATTTTAAAATCACAACTGATATCTCAGCTTAGTAAAAGCAAAAATAATGCATACAGATAAAACTACCATGGAGAAAGAAATATGTGTTAATGAGGAAAGATTGGAGGTTGTGGAAAGTTTTGAATATCTTGGGTCATTGATTACCAACAATGGTGACACAATAGAATATATTAAACGATGACTATCAGTTGCTCTTCAAAGACTAAAACAACTGACAAAATTATGGAGTGGGACAGACTAAAAAAAAGTAGATTTCTAAGAGCATCAATCTCTCCCATTGCAACATACGCCTGTGAGACCTGGTCACTTACTAAACTAATTGAAAGCGCATAAATGCCTTTGAAAACAAATGCTGTAGACGGATTCTAAGAAAATCTTGGGTAAAGAAAATAAAAAATTGCAGCCATACTACAAAAACTGAATATTGAAGAAGGTTGGCTATTAAAGACGATAAAACATGGAAACATAAATATTTTTGTCACTTCAAACGTCACGAGAGTTTGGAGAGAACAATAATGGAGGGGTATGTGTGTGGGAAGAGAGGAAGAGAAAAGCCAAAGAGAAGATGGGTACAGGATGTGGCGGATGATCTCCAGATGGGTGTATCGGACGCGGGACAATTTGCGTGTGATCAAGAAGTTTTACGAAGTGTTGTTATGGGTGCAAGGTTCTGCAAATGACATGCTACTGACTTACCAGTACTATGATGTTAGCTGTGCACACTTAAATACAGCAAAACAGCGGGGAGAAAATATGTGATACACACTCCATTGTTATAATTACCTGATAATGCTTACACGTACGAAGTAATCACATCTAGCCACTAGCTACACATAAATGTCCAAGGAGGAGCATTTGGAAATATCCGTTTACGGCACAATAACTTCCAGTCTGAAGCAGAGCTGCTGAAGTTGGTACTTTTGTACAAATATGGCACTTCTGACCCTTGTCGAACCACGTCCGGCTGCATATCCCTAACCCGAACCCTAATAAATCTGGAGCTGGCCGTGGTCGAACAAAGCTGTACTTCTGGGACCATGCCCGATATTTTGGTATGTTTGTGAAACTTTGCATCAATATTTTCAATGCCAGCATTGTACGATAGATCCACCATGTGTTACTGAAAGGAAGACAGCCCGACGACAATTATGCTATTGGTCATGACATTTACCAGCCATGTCAAAGAAGATAATTATAAACAGATAAATAAAAAAAATAAAAAAAATGGAAGGAGCCAGCAGTGCGAGATCATCCACCTAATAATACAGATATCAAGAAAAGATATAAACCCGAACAAAAAATGTATTAGCAAGCTTCACAATATAACAAATACAAACAAAACGAGAACGTTGCGGCTATTGAGCCTTCATCAGCACAAACAAATTAAACAATACTACATAGATACACAAAATCACTTAGCTGGTATCACGATGCGGCCAGGTCTAAAAAAAAAAAAAAAAAAAAGAGAGAAGGAAAAAAAATAACAAAAAACTTGAAAAATACTGGTTTACAACTTCAGAAGAATGATGCGGATATTAAAATCACTTCAGTTAGTATCAAAATGTATGCTTACTCTTTTGGCATTACCGCGCTTCTTTGCAGCTGTAGGCAGACATTTAAAAAAAAATTGTCTGCTTAACAATATTAGTATTTCAGAAAAATCGCTATTCTTTGAAGGCTTCGAGAATAAATGTATTGATGTGTTCAGATATGGCTCCAGAACATTAACTGCACCAACTGGAGGCTTTGTAATAACATGAGCGAGAAGAAAGGAACGTGGCGCTGATGCAATGGATTTTATTGATGATCAAATATAAGGTAAGCCTATTTATATAGTTGTATATATGCCCGGCTCGCTAGCCCTGTTGGTTAAAACCCTCTGCGCGGCGACTGGGTGAGGAACTCCTTGTAGTCCAGGTTTACGCCCCGGGTGGTAGGCAGAAAAGCCATATTTCTCTTAGATTTAAGGTATCTTTCATGGAATCAGTAGGCTCTGTGGCTAAGTCGAGGCGAACGCTTCGTAATGCCGGGTTCGATCCCAGCTGCGGGCCATGGGCCTTGCATTGGTTTCAACAGTGGTATCAAGAAAGCCTATCGTTCAGTAGAAATGGCAAACTACTGGACGAAAATTTGCCTAGAAAAACCACACAACAGCAAGGGGCTGTTGGGGTTGGTTCTGCAACGTCCTGTAAAGGATACGCAACTAACCTTGATCATTATAATGATTATATTATATCAAGGCCGAAAGGGTTGCAATATCCATAATACCGAGCCAAAGGGTTTACAACTCATTATTTATGGATACTCAAAAAAATTTATATATGTGTGTGTTCAAAGATATTAAACGGGTGTTTAATTAAAAGAAAAAAAGGGTATCTTTTGATGTGTTTTGGTACCTTTAAAAACCTCCACACGCACACACGCATGGTACCTTTCCTAACAAATTCGGCAGCTCTGGGCTCCCAGGGTGAAATCCGAACTGATGAAGTCACTTCCGCTTCCTTGTTTATATAGTTGATAGACCACATGTGTTTTCTTACCAGGAGATATCCAACGCTAAAAACGTGACCGTTTATAATTTACAGATTAAATAGCGATATTTTAGACACCACACATACCAGAGCGCCATGCCTAAATCTAAGCGGGACAAAAAAGGTAATGAATCTTAACGTGGTTATGTCCAAACGGATGTTTATCACTAAATTTAGTGTCGTTAGCCACGTGTTGCTATGGTTTAGAGTTTAGCGTAACGTTAGTAAAATTAATAAAGTAAAAAAAAATTAAAACTTTAAAATCATGTTTCAACCTCTCATAACTCTTAACATTTACTGTTATCACGCCTTTCCTACCCCCACCCAATTCACAGCCGACTACTTCTCTCTCCCTTTCCGAATAATAAATTGAAATTCAAAACTGACAAATTTTTGTTTTTAAATTGACCATACCATGAGTGTCAACCCAGACTAAAATAAGACATTAAGAGCATGAATGGTTATGAGAAGTGCAGAAAAGCCACATTTCTCTCAGATTAACGGTACCTATAATGGAATCAAGGCCGAAGGGTTGCGATATCCATAGTACCGAGCCAAAGGGTTTACAACTCATGGTTTCTGGATACGTCATGCGTTAAAAAAAAAATGAGAAGTAAATGCGTCCAGTATAATATTTACATAATCTATCAAGTTCTAAGAATATCTTGGGTAAAGAAAAGAACAAATGCATCCATACTTCAAGAGCTGAATATTGAAGAGGGTTGGCTAGTAAAGACAATAAAACAAAGAAAATTGAAATATTTTGGTCACTTGAAACGTCATGGAAGTCTAGAGAGAACAATAATGGAGGGGTATATGCCTGGGAAGAGAGGAAGAGGAAGGCCAAGGAGAAGATGGGTGCAGGATGTGGCAGATGATCTCCAGATGGGTGTATGTATCAGACGCAGGACATCTTGCTCATGATAGGAAGGTTTTCTGGAGGGTTGTTATGGCAGCGAGGTTCCGCGAGGGACATGCTACTGAATGAATGAATCAAGTGCCAGTACAACCACTACCACCTTGTGTAGCGTTCTTATATTATCACTTTGAGTCATGAGTGCAGGGACTGGCCAGCTGGTGCTGCAGAATCAGAAGCTCAACAAAATGGACAATTACCGCCCGAGTGATGTGATTAGCTATATATATATATAGATAGCTCTGTGTTGATCAGCAGAAGAAGTGCATGGTGGTTCATAGCAAAAGCATATGAATGTTACTTAGTGTAACAAAGCCTGGCATATGATCACAATGATGTACGTATTAGCCTGGCTAGAGAATCAGCTGTACACGCATGTCGTGAGTGTAACTGACTCACAGAGCATGTTAAGAAAGGTGGAGACATGTATGCTCTGTCTGTGCAGAATGGCAAGCATCACTTCAGAGGTCCTGGGTAGTTAGCATTCTTTGGATCTTCTCTCCGGGTAATCCCGATGTTTTAGGAAATGAGCAGGCCGATATACTGGCCGGTTCTGCACCACTTGGTGGTGAACTAATAAATGACAGACTAGATGTTTTGAGGGCGCTCTAGCAGAGAGTAAACAGTGCGGAGGCGCAAATAGATCATTACGGTCTGGGAAGAATAGAGCTGCGAGGTGTGGCCAAGGTATCTGGCCGATACTTAACACATAAGGGAAAGACAAGACGGATATACAATCAGACAGTTACTTAGCTTTTGAAGCCAGGTGTCTTTTCGAAGTTGTAGATAGAGTGGGTAGGTTTGCTGAATATGCTGAGGTGTTTGTGGTCCTGTTAGTGACAGACCCACTGTGGGGAGTGTACAATCTTTATTTTATGCATGTGGTAGTTGGGCCTGCATATGTCCTGTTCGTAGACGGAAAATTGTTGTATGATGCTTTCTGTTGAGTCTGCTAATGGGTCTTGTGGGTGTTTACTGTTAGTTTGTTTTGTTATCTCCACAATTTCTTGCATTTTTCCTTGATAATTGTTTTGATTTCTCATCATGACAATGGGTGGGTGTGTTGTTTCTTCTTTGTTCCATTTTTTGCAAGTCTGTCTACTAACTCATTTCCTGGTATGCAGCAGTGAGCCCGGATCAACTGGAAAAATGATTTGTTTTTTTCGAGTCTGTTTAGCTGGCTGGTCAGTTCTCTTTTCATATTGTCTAGTGGAACCCTCTGAGTCGCCTGGAGGACTGACATGCAGTCACAAAGGAAAATTGTTTTTGCTGTTTTTAATTTTTTCCCTCAAGCATTTTGGCTGAATCAATGATTGCTTGCTACTCTGCTCTAAAGTTTGTTGATTCTTCCGGAGGCACATGACGTTTCTACTGCAGTCCCATCTTGCAGCATGATGACCGATCCAGCTCCTATGTTTTTTTTCCTGCTTCCTTCAGTGATTCATTGGTGTATATCTTTGTCCAGTCGAGTTTTGGATGACGAGTTGTAGACATGTTCAAAGGTTCTTGCATGCAGTACTAGATTACATTCTTTCACCTTTCTGTCTATGCCTGGAAATGTTGTGACTGTATAGTTAGGCTGTAGGTCCAAGCTGTATGCTTGGATCATTTCCTGTGTTGAAGGATTCTTTAGAAAAGATGTTACTGTTTTGTTTTGTAGTTCAATTTTAATAGTCGGTTTTTAGTTAAGTAGTTTGCAATTCTGTGCATTTGGTTGTTGTTGTGTTAAAATGTTCTATTAGGGTAAACACATTTTCTTCCCTTCGAAGGCTCAAGATCTGGAGGCCAGTAGTTGCCTCCAGCTAATTTATTTCCGTGCTTCTCATACCTCCAGTGATGATTCTGAGTCCACTATTCTGTATTTTGTCCAGTTTGTGTAGGTTAAAAGAGTTCAGCTGTTTTAAATTTTCTGACTGTCCAGAGGGTTAAGTTATTTTAACATTAAAAAAAAAAATGTAAACGGTCTAGGACAGTGACTAGCAAACTATTGTTGGACTAAGAAATCAACAAGATAGGAATGTAGCAACAGCAATAAGCAGGTGAACAAAATGAGTTTGTAAGAACAGAAAGCTTGCGATCGATACAAAAACTCTTGTCAAGTAGGATTACGTAGCACAATTCTTTACGGCAGTAAAACTTGTAGGGAGAATCCTTGACATCAAGTGGCAACTGAGGATAACAAACACTGAGGTATATATGAAAGAGCAGTTTTCTGAAGGCTCAGGTGGCTGGATCACACATTGAGGATGGTAAAATCCCTAAGGACATTCTCTATGAGGAATTGCAGATTCCCTGTGTGGCTTCTGGGGCCCCATTGTGGGGAAAAAACAAAAAGAGACCCACCGTCTCCCCAACATTCATGTCGCAAGAGTTGACTAATTGGGAGCTTGCATCTGCCTGAGGGGCAAGAAACAGTTAACTGCACACAAATAAGCCAGTAAAATGGATGTCAATGCAAAACTCCAAATAGACGAACCGGTGAACATAGAAGAACAATTTCAGAAGGGTAGAAGATGTCGAGACCAACATCTTCTACAATATAAAGACTTGTGCAAGTAGGATATGAATGATACATGTATTGATGTAGATTCATGGGAACAAAATTCCATCGACAATGTTGCATAGAAGGGGTCAAATCAGAAATGGAATGAGAATGTAGGAAATAGTGGTTGCAGAAAGCATGAGAGCTGAGGACACCAATTACACATGATGGCAACACTAGTCCTCAAATCTCATGCTGTAATTCTGGAAGACATTTCCTAATGTGGACGGGTTCTGCTCGTTACATTCACCATTGCCATCGGCTGTAAGTTCCACCCAACTGTCCATAGCACAAGTGTCTAGAAAGACGGAAAGGTGCCAGCAACAGAACTGTCCAGGACAGCAAATATTAAGCTCTAATAGTAACTCTTAATTCTTCATTGTAGATGTCTAAAAAAAAAAAAAATCAACATAAACTGATATATGCTTCTGCTTGTTTTTATTTTAGTGTCACTTACTCAGACACGGAAGAAGGGCCTGGAGCTAAAACAGAAAATAATAGAAAAAGTAAGAAGTTGATCTGTGTTGTTTTAGTGGCTATGTACACATTCTATCTGTATTCCCTATTTGTGGGTTTGGCCACTTATGTGTCAATTCCTCCCCACCAACAAAAAATGGTTCATACATTCAGTTTCAGGGGACAGCATTTATCAAGCTTGCTGCCTGGCTCGCTAGTGCAGTTGGTTCAACCTGACTTCATGGCGACCGGGTGATGAACACCTTTTGGTCCGGGTTCACGCCCGGGGGTTGACAAAAAAGCCACATATATCCCAGATTTACGGTATCATGGAATCAAGGCTGAAGAGTTGCGATATCTATAGTACCGAGCCAAAGCATCTGCCTGAGAGGCAAGGAACCAGCAGTCTGCATACAAATGAGTCATATCTGTAAAACGGATGCACATGCAACACACATATTCTGGAAGAGGGCTGCAGTCCAGAAGTGGGCGAACAACCAGAACTTTCTGCCAGGTTTACAGCTGGTGAACGCAAAGAAGAAGAAGAAGCTAGTTTGCGGCCCCCTGGTCAGTTTTTGTCTTCCTGTATAGTTGACTGCCGTGATCAAAACGTTGCAAGAACATTGTGCTCTGGGCTGTCAAAACTATCGCTAAATGAAAATCATAAAAATGTGTTTAATTGACTTTGGGATTAAGTCAGTGATTTTAGTGGGTCATTAATTCATTAAGGAAAGCTAACTTTATGTGTATTAATTTGCTTACAGATTAGAGAGACAGCCGACCTCTATGCCAACATTTTCACATTCTCTGTGTACAACATGAGAAATGTTCAGTTAAAAGAGATACGACAGGAGTGGAGCCACAGCAGGTAAAGCATGTTTAACAAATGTTCTTCCTCACATAGGAATAGAATCATCTGTCCCTAACTCTTAAAGCCCCAGTGAATGCATCCTAGGTTCCGACCTATAAGCCCATTGAACACAAGATGCGCTGATTTTACGTCTCTTTTTTACTACCACCTCTGAGCCAAACCCCCAGGACTGAAAGAGTTAAAGCACACATTAGTGATAGATAAGTCCTTGGTGTACTTTAGTAATAGGTATACCAATAATGTACACAGTACCAGTTGACAGTAAGACCCTTAACTAGTCCCAAAGAACGCATCATACGTTTATAGGTTCCTACCTAGAAGCCCAATGAACGCATGATGCGCCTATTTTATTACTTTTCTTACTACCCCCTGGGTCTGTGATGCTCAACCCCCTGGGACTCAAAGAGTTAAGGTACACGATAGCAGTAGACAGAAATATGCCTTCTTCTTTGCTGTAAAACCAGCGTTGATATCTAAAGGTCCAGGTGAGGTTAAGCAGTCATTTGTTGTATGTGCATGATGAGCCCCAGGACCAGCGCGTCATGTGTCTGCTCTGCATTTATAGAAGGCCCCTTTGAAGTGCGAGGAATGGCCCACATTCTGCCTTTCCCTGAAGACTGACCAGTCTAAATGTGGCTGCCCTGGACAGCTTCTCTGGAAGTAGCACCTGATAAAAAGGACAGCACACAAATAAGGCTATGATGTGTCAGAGAGGACAAACTAAAGAGAGTAACCTGGTGAACAAATGTCTGATTTCCCGGTGTGGGTTCCGGGGCCCTATTATGGGGGGGAAAACAAGAATAGACTCTGCCTACCCAAAAGCATGTCGTACTAATTGGGAGCTTCCTTCGAAGCCTGAGAGGCAAGGAGCCATCAGTCTGCATACAAATTAGTCAGATTTGTCAAACAGATGAACACACACCACTCAGATTCTGGAACAGGACTGCAGTCCAGAAATTGACAAATAAACAGAACTTTCCGCCAGAGTTTACAGCTGGTGAACGTGAAGAAGAAGAATTGCCTGTTTATTCATCTTCTTTTTTTTCTACCATTTACCCCAGCAAGGTGGGGGGGGGGGGGGGGGGGGTGTAAAGACCATTTGTGAGCTTTTTCCATTGCATTGTGCAAGTTGGTTTCAAATTCTGTTAGGTTGCTTTTGATTATGTTGCTCCATTACTTGTGTAGTCTTCCTCTTTTTCTGTGTTTATTATATTTCTTTAGTATGGCAGTTGGTACCAGGGCATTCTCTTCAGGTGGACAGAGCATCTTATTTATTTTTCTGTAATGAATTCTATGACTGGTATCAGTCCTAATTTCTTCATTCTTTATTTCATCTCTTCTTGTCACACTGTTATCTCTCCTAAGAATCTCTGGTGCTACGATCTTCTGCTCGTTAGTTAAAGTAAGGGTCCATGTTTAGCACTGGTAGCAGAATGTCAACCAACAATTTTTTTTATGGGGTTTGCTTTGGTTGACAGAGGTATCTGATTTGTGTTCGTACATTGTATGTTTAGTGATTTGCTTTGCCTTTCTTTTTTTTTTAAATTATTCACTACATGATTGCAGCCTAGTCTGATTCACAGAGCTTACAGATTTCTGCATTCACAATGCATTTTGATATACATTAGGTGGGTACAAGTAATTCTGGTCATCTTTAAATCACATGTGGTGGTTTACCAGTAACAGGGTTTGATAGAGTCAAAAACCAGACTACACACTTTGGGTTCATTCTAAAACAGGTTTCCAGTGTAGATAGCATGGACTTTTCCTTCAAAGCGCTTCTGCCTGAAAAGGCAAGAAATTAACTGTCTGCATACAACTGTTTTTCTTCGCAGTCACTGGCAGAAAGTTCTGGTTGTTCGTCCACTTCTTGGCTTTGTCTTTTTCTAGAACCTTAGTGTTACATGTGCATTTATTCTACAGATGTGACTCATTTGCATTCAGGTGTTAGTTCCTTGCCTCTCAGGCAGGTGCACTCTTGACTTCGAAGGAAGCTCCTATTTAGTCGACTCTTACGGCATGCTTTTAGGTAGGCAGTTGGATCTTTGTTTTCCCTACAGTAGGGCCCCATAGCCCACATAGGGATGCATACAAGTAAGGCGGACGGACACGCAACCTTTAAATCCAGAAGCAAAACTCACTAGTTTGAAACAAGCAAGTGCGCGAAAGTTGATTATATACCCAACAAAACACACAAGCAAAATGAAATTTACTGATTTCATCCTTTTTATTCCATATGAATGCAGGTTTTTCTTTGGCAAAAACAAAGTGATGCAGATTGCTCTCGGGAGGACGGAAGATGAAGAGTACAAAGAGAATCTTTCTAAACTGACGCGGCAGTTACAAGGACAGACTGGTCTCCTCTTTACAAATAAAGGGGAAACAGAAGTTTTAAAGTATGTTGATTGTTATTGGTTTTCTTCTGTTGTTTGGGCATAATGTAAATATCCTACATTATGCTGATGATGCAGTTTTATTTACTGAACACAGCATATGAGTGCCAATTGGTCTACAAAATTTAGGTCCAGTAGACTTTAAGGCGTGGAAAAGGATCCTTTATCATACAATTACAATAGATGATGGATGTGAGTCAAGTTAAAGGCCCATTTTACATTAATGGGACATTGGACATGTGCTGTTCCCATGTTAGTTGCGGGGCCCAATGTGGTGAAAACAAGAATAGACCCCCCCCCCCCAACAAGCCAGCCAGAATCGACTAATTGTGGACTTCCTTCAGAGTCGGAGTGCATCTGCCTCAGAGGCATCGAACCAGCTGCATTTAAATAAGTCATATCTGTGAAACTGATGTGCACGCAACACTCAGGTTCTGGAACAAGACTAATGTCCAGAAGTGGACGAGCAACCAGAACTTTCAGCCGGAGTTTACAGCCGTTAAAAATAAAGAAAAAAAAAAAGAAGACATCAGTGGCAAACGGGGCATGTGATGCTAGACTTAATTCTGTTGACCTCATTGGTGCCATTATAATGTCACACCACTATCCTTTATCCCAGGCCATTGACTGGTATCACATAGTCCTGTTATGGAGAACAAAGGCACCATAATAATTTACAGTCGTGTTTCTTAGCACTTGAGCCGTGATGGTACATTAGAGAAACCTACCCTTGGTATGACAATTAATGAGACAATGGCGTTGGCCAGGAACTGTGAGCATTCGCTGCAGGATTGTATGCAAGATGGATGTGAGAGGAAATAGATATTTAAATTTCTCAAACAAATTATTGTGTAATACACCTTCAAACATTAGCATGATTATATGTAAAAAAAAAAGCAGCTATTAAACCTTTCTTTTTTGTCAACTTTTACAATGTCTTTGTTAACCCTTTTGCCCCAGGGAAAAAAGACATGCACCCAGTTAAGACTATCAAACAAAATCAGTAAAACCAAGTTTTACAAAGGCCGCCAATAAATTTGGACTTGTTTTAAAATTTGTTGTCAGTATATGTAAAGATACATGAAAGAAGTAATAAATAAAAACAATCAGGGTAAAGGATTAAAGAGAAGATATCCCTCAGCGTATTAAAAAAAAAGAACATGTTTTGTGTGACTCATTGTCGTGAACCCTTGACCTCTACCACTGAGGCTTCAGACTAAAGCTGATGTAAGGTTAGCATCAGAAAAGGCATTTAGCTTGAAAGACAGCCCTCACCCCAGCTAATGTAGGTTAATGTATCCGTATCCCGACCTCCTAAATGTTTACTCAGGCGCGAACTCAACCATAGGCATTATCTATACCTCTCTCTAACAGGCCACAATAGGCAAGCCGGACAAATGACATAACACGGAATTAGACGCAACCAAAAATTTTGACTTCTCAAGACGATATGGTTAAGGAACAGTGGGTCTGTTCTCCTCCCTCTCCCTAATGAACTCCAGAACCTGTGAAGACTATATTTTAAATATTGAGCTTCATAAATTGTTTGTTTTATGTCTGTTGTCAGGTACTTTGATGGGCTGTACACACCCGACTATGCCCGATCTGGCACAGTGGCAGCTCAAACTGTTGAACTTGAGGAGGGTTTATTACCAGAATTCTCGCACTCCCTAGAGCCACAGTTGAGGCAGCTGGGACTACCCACAAAGTTAAAAAGAGGTATTTGACGGGCATAATTATTCTGATTACGTTAGAATGTGAATACAGACACATGGTCATGGACAGCAGAAATATCAGAGATACTAAAAATTACTTTACACGAAGCGAATAGAAGGGCCCCTTGCAGCGATCTCTGTTTGCCCAGAAGCCGCAAAGCATTCCAGGAGTTGAGACAAGAAGAAGAGAAGAAAGTGAGTAGGATGCAAATGCAATGAACCACACCTGATGCAGGACCAGGGCTTGACTGGGCATGACCTTTCTGCACCGCAGTGTCATTCTTGAATTAGGTACCGGGGCTCCGTTTTAGAGAAAAGAGAATGGACCCCATGCTCCTCCTTCCAAAAACATGCAGGGCGTTGACTAATTATGGGTGTTTCCTTTAAAGTCGGAGTCCGTATGCAAAGAACTAACAATCCGCATACAGATGAGACAGATCTTTAAAACTGATGTGCGTGCAACACTCAAGGAGTGTACGAACAGCCATTACTTTTTGCTGGAGCTTACAGCTGGTGAATGCGAAGGAGAATAACTACAGCTGGTGAATGCCAAGGAGAATAACTACACCTGTTGCTGCTCCAAGGCCACCTTAGTGGGTATCCTCGAAACCGGGCCCCGACTGACACTCATTTCGTTCAAATTGTATCTACCCGAGTGGCCAGGAGAGTGCATACAGATAAGCCAGGTCTGTAAAACGAATATGATCGGCGTCTTTCCAGAAGACGCTCAGCTTTCATCCTTTTTGCAATAATTTCTTCCTTCACTCTCATTCCCTTCCTGATATGCTTTTTCACCGCAACACAGTCCATATCATTTTGTTCCCATTAGTCCACCTCGATACATGTATCTTTTATGTCCCGCTTGCACACATCTTTATAGTGTAGTAAAGGTCGGCCACCTGGGCCTTTGTAGACTTAGCATAAAAAATACTGTTGTAACTGCTCTTTCCAGCACCTCAGTGTTTGTGTGATTTTGTCGTGCGACTTAATGCTTAGTATTCTTCTTAACCATTACTTTCTATCCAATTTGGTGAACTCAGAGAGGGGACAAAAAAGCAGCAGGGCACTGGTTTGTCATTTGTGTCAACTTATGAAAAAATCTGTTATGGCGCAGGAAGTAGCCGGTCACCCTAATAGAGCCTGCCTGCTAGGGAAGAGGCAATGGATGTCCCTATGGAGTCCACACGTTCACAATTGACTTAAACACAACCATTCAGCTTCTCAGCACGTAGATCAACTTCAGGCTTGGATTGTTGTCTCCAGGTTGTCTCCTCTAGATCCGTTGTTTTGTCTTGGGACGGCAAGGTCTTGGTTAATTAGGTCACCTTTTGAAGGATGTGCCTTTTCAAACACTTTGCAATAGCCTTGACTGTAGAAGGATTTGCCAGGTTAGAGGACTTACCACCTGAGTGCGCCTTTTTCACCAGTAAGGCTAGACTCAGAGACTCACAAGGTGTGCAAGTCAGGCATATAACTAGACGGTGACTGATACCATCGATATTGGAACTCTGCGCTGGCTGCTTAAGACGGAGCAGGCATGGGAATGCCCCGAGTGATGTGATGTAAATTCTTGATCTATGCACTGGTTTATATTTATCAATGGCTGTTTTAGATATTGTATTCTGTGGTCTTTGTATCATTGTTTTATAATCACATATTCTGAAAACTTTATTACTCAGGAGTCATACAGCTGCAGAGAGCCCACACAGTTTGCGAAAAGGGTCAAGTTTTGAACCCAGAGCAATGTAGAATTTTAGTAAGTTTTGCAATTAATGATTTTAATTACTGAAACATTGATTCTAAGCCAAGATTAACAAATTTTGTGTTTAGCTCACTTATATAAAATAATAAGAACAAAGAGAAAAATACTTTGCACAATTAAATTGTGTCAGAATACCTAATAGGCTGTAACTTGTTTGTTTATGATAAACATAGCAGCTATATGTCACCCTGTTCAAGGCATTGACACCCAGTAGAATCAATCATAATTTTTTTTTCATATTCGGTAATGTTCATAATGGCTGTCCATTTTACAATTCGAGGCAGACAATAACAACCATATACTGTTGTATGGTTAATGTATAGAGCTTTCCAGGTCACATTGCTGCTTTAACATTTAATTATCAGACAAATTTTTTTTTTGTTTTTAAAAAGTTAAGTTACAGCTAGGCTGTGATACCTTTGCCTTTTTGGTACTTAAATCTGATTTCATTCAGCAGTTAAGATAGATCCAGTGCACATTGTACAAGATGACTAATTAAGGATTTGCTGAAATTGGTTGTGCTGTGCTGAAGCGGGCTGCTGTCATGTTGTTCACACACTGAGTGCTGATAAGACTCGCCAGTGATGTAAGACGGCTCTCTAACTTTTTAAACCTCACAGACCAAACGAGAGATTTCCCTCACATTACAGTGTGAGTTTGGCCTTGGTTTTGCAAATTGACTCTCTGACATCTCCCCTCTGAATATGAATAAGTATGTAACTTTTAAACCATAGCTGTAAGTGAGAAGATTTTTGTTCCGAGTTTTTGCAACATAATATAAAAATTATCTGCTTGTTTTCTTTAAGTCATCCTTATTAGTTTCTGAAATTTGTTGGCTCAATGATAAATACAAATGTGACATTTTTCAGCATAAAATATTAGTTAATAAATATCAAGGAAAATGGGTTTATTTGAGCAAAGATTATATTTTCCTTAAACCAGCTTGTATCTACATAAAGCATTGTTTCCAGCAGTTATACTCAAATTCAGTTTAGCGGTTTCACCTGTTCTTAAGTAAGGTATCTAAATTTTTTTTTTTTTTTTTTTATAGTCATGATATGGCCAAGCCATTTCTGATCTTTTCTAGTGTGGGGATTTGAGTTGCCAGGCGGTCAGTGTTGCCCCAGTGTTCTAAATGATGTCGATTCATTTCCTTATCAAAATTTATTTAGATAATTTGTAATTACCACTAAAACTCATTTATGCAGATTTTGTAAATTTCTTCCCTTGAAACCTTTCCTTAGACTCGAGCAAACCAATTTACCACTTGTCTTTTTCACCCTGTGACCAGTTTTTATTTCTTATACTATAATCTTAAATTGGCAAGTCACATTAGTATTTTAATTATTCTTTTCTATTTTTTTTTAATTTTCAGAAATTATTTGGCCATAAGATGTCCAACTTCCACATCACAATTCAAGGGATGTGGTCAAATTCTGGTAAATGGAAGACATTTAACGACAGGCCAGAACCTATAGTCCCAGATAGAGTCAAAGTCAAACGTAAGTATATTGTTTAGATATGTTTTTGAAAATATAAATTAATATCATACATACACACACACACACATATACATACCTAGTATTACTAGATTTAATTGCCCGGCTTCGCCCAGGATAGTGAAAGTCAGTCTTATTTTCCTATCCCCTTACCTATCTGGGTCTCCACCGCTGTCCATTTGTAGGCCCAGGGGGAAATAGGGGTCTAACTAAATCCCTGTATTTCATATCCCCTCTTCTACTTCATCTTTGTCTCCGCCACTGCCAGCCTCACAATTGCGAGACATCCCCTATAATACTATGACCAGTATTCAACAATTTGGGTGACATATATGTATATATATATATATATATATATATATGATATAATTAATTGATGCCTGCACACACTTCATGTAGAAATAAAGTCAGACTAATGTGAAGTGAGCTAGCAAGTTGAGTTTATAAGATAGTGAAAACACTGGGTGAGGTGAGTCTGTGCTCCTTCAGAGAATAAACAACTGAAAAAGAAGATAATAAATGAGTTATTGTGTGTAAATCTTGGAAAATGGAGTGCTTTTCTCTTATATGCCGTGTCTGTTTTAGATGCTATAATATGCTGTCCAGCATCTCTAGGCGTAAAAATTCTGCCAGTTCATTTGGCATTTTCTTCTCAGCATTCATCAGCTATAAATTGTATATTGGCTGGTTGTTTGTCCACTTCTGGACTTTGGTCTTGTTCCCGATCTTGAGTTTTACAAGCACGTGTGTTTTATAGATCCAGGTTGTATTTGTATGCAAACTGTTGTTCCTTTTTTTCTTTTTTTTTTACAGTTCTATGGAATCTTTCTGCATCTCAGTTGTGTAGTAATGCTTTGACCCAACTGTTTGATCACTCCATATTTCAATTGTTTAGTAATGTTTTGACTCATCTGTTTGAATGCTGTTTATCTCAGTTGTTTAGTAATGTTTCAAGATCTAGAAAGATTGTGCGTCTTTGCTTGGAGTATGTGACATACAAAACCAATTATGTTATATTGTCGTTTGTGAACATACATTGTTTTTTAAATTCTGCGGCCTTAAAATCGTTGTTTTGTGCTTTGCACCTGGCTGCCATATTTGCATATTTCGACCAAACAGATTTGTTGTCAGCATACCCCTACTTAGTCGTGTGTTTTTTTTAACAACATGCTTGTTAAGGGACAGGGTGTCTAACAGACCACTTCCTCTTTCCCCCATCGACCCAGAAACACACAGGGACACTTGTTCATACCACAAAATTATAGTTTGAAAGGATTTACAATATCTAAACTTTGATCGATTTCTATTTTCAGCCAAAAAAGAGGACAAAGTGATGATGATTCTGCCAAGATGGAAGATGAAGTTGATGAAGAGGAAGAAGATGAAGAATGTTGATATAATTTTGAAGGATAAATTAAACTATTTAATTGTATGACGTGTTGTTATTGTACCCATTTTGACAATTTAGTTCACTTTTTTTTTTTAAATTTGTAAAGCACAGTGATGTACAGTTAGCTCTTATATTTTTTAAGTTTACCAAAGGCCCCTTGCTTTTTTTTTTAAGAAAGTGAAAAAGAGTAATTATGTCTACAAAAAGAAACACAATGTAGATGTTGCAATGGAATGTTTTCTTCTTTTTGTGTTTTGTTCGCTTGAAATAAATTATCTATATCTGCAATATTGTCTCTTGTATGAACTACACTGTCTTTTGTATTTCACTCAGCGACCCGTAAAGTTTGACTTGCGCCAATGTTTCTCTTGACCAAAAGTCTTGGAGGACATGATCTGTCTTCTTAGGTGCCAGTCCACATGTGCAAATGGCTGATTCGCAGAATTAAAATTTTGTGTTCATCTAGCTGTGACACTTCTATCCTGCTCTAGGGCAGCGAATAACTTGCTCTGGTCTGTCCATAAAATGGTAATCATCTTGTGCTAGTACTGGTGGCTTTCTGATTGATTTGAAAATTCTCTTCTTTTGTCGATAAGAGTCTAGTACGTCAGATGGTTCTTCATTTGCACCTTACTTAGCTAGTTTTATCAGCTCTTTCATTTCTGGAAACTTCACAGTGGGGTGGTATGCAAAGGAATTTGAATATTGCTGCTTGGACAAGAGAAAACAGCCTGAAAGGTTCACCCGATCATCTTTCATATGCGGGCCTGAACTGTACTCACCTGATAATCGTTGGCACAGGAAAAGCAACAAAAGTCAAAACAGTATTGATTTACAAGAATCATGTTAACACTGAACTGACTGACTATGCTATTGAATGCCTGCCAATAAAAGAGCCATGCTTCGCAAAACCAATTCCGAGAGCAAGTATGGCTTCTCTCACCATAGAACGAATCAACATCACTGATAATGTTTACAGGCTGGCTAATCACGAAGTGTAGTGGCCCTCAGTGTAATATGGTGAGAAGCACCACTAGACGATTTCACCTCAGTGGAAGGCCCATAGTACCAACACTTGCCGAAGACCACTTTGAATGACTCCATCACCAGGAATCAGTCTACATCTGTGTTGTCCTCTCAGTCCAGTCAATGCCAACAGCTTGTCACATTTTAATTCAAACTGTCACAGACTGGCTGCATGACGTGGTCCATCATACATAAGTCTAGCAGAAATCTGAAGTTGGCTGTCCATTACAACTTCAGTACTGTTGCCTTTTCCTTTGTGGACAGATATTTATCTCTATGCAACTGGAAGATCTTAATGTTGTTCGGCTAAAAAAAAAAAAAAACAGTATGCCACGTAAAACACGATTTAAGAAATACAGCATCAGAGATGGACTACTTAAAAAGTTTTGAAAAGAAACATATATCGAGGCAAAAATAATTGAAGTAACAGATTTATTAAATTAGGTAGTACAGCGGAACTAAAAATGACCTTAGCTCCCAGGTCTACCCAGCCTTGAGTGGGTACTGGGTGCAGTCCTGGGAAGTAAAGGCGGCTGGTGTGATGCTGACCACATCATCTTGTGCCGATTAGGCTATAAAATGTAGGTCTAGCCCTATATGCCCTATACATCTGAAGGTGTGGAAAAGGGTCCTTTTTTACTTACAGCGGAACTACAGTATTTGTCATTTAATCCATTTTTGGAGAGAGGACGAATATTAAAATGGATGACTATCAAACACATTTTTCGCCATAGGATTGAAGTATTAAAAAAATGGTTTAATCCACGGTTAATTAAACGGGGGCCCACGGGCCGTATCTAGCCCAAAGAAACTTAGCAGGTGACCTGTGGATTGTTACCACTTGTATTGTATCATGAGTTCGTTCTATGCTTAGGCCTGTGGCTCGTGAGGGTTCACTTTTTTTTAAGTGTTGGCCTCTGAGTAAATTTAGTTGAATAGCCCTCGTTTAATCAATTCTTAGCCCTGAATTTTGCTTATCTATACTGTAATTGAAAATTCTGGAAATCATTGCAGAGACATTTTATTTCATATTAGCTGTTGTAGCAATAAAAAAAAACGTATATATATTAATTTTGTGAACTTTGAGAAAGCTTTTGACAGCGTCCATAGAGACGGTCTGGAAAATTTTTGCGACACTATGGAATTCCAGAAAAAATAGTCAACATAATTGCTCTCTTCTATAAAGACCTTTCCTGCAGTATAAAAAATTACAATACCTCTTTCCCAGTAAAGACAGGGTTGTGTTGTGTCATCTCTCCTCTTCAACCTTGTGATTGATTGGATACTAAAGAACACGGTAGACAGGACATTGAGAGGCATACAGTGGACTCCATTCACCATGCTTGAGGACCTTGATTTTGCAGATGATATAGCACTCCTATCACATAAACATGAACATATACAAGAGAAAAGTAACAGACTACACTGCACAGCAGAAATGGTGGGACTGAGATTAAATACAAAGAAAACTAAGATCATGACAAACAGTCCAAACCAACAACGAGTGACCATAAATAACCAAACTCTTGAAAATGTAGAACATTTCACATATCTTGGCAGTGTGGTGTCCCTACTGGGAGGGACTGAAGAGGACATACAGTCACGTCTGAACAAAGCTAGAGCTGCTTTTGGAAAGATGAGGCAAATCTGGAAATCCACCAATTACTGCACAGGAACGAAACTCTGACTCTACAAGAGCATCATTTTGCCAGTTCTTCTTTATGAAGCAGAATGCTGGAGAATGACCAAAAAGGATACACACAAGCTGTCCACCTTCCACCACACATGTCTACGTAGAATTATCAAAATTGTCTGGCCAGATACAATCTCAAACACTAAACTACTTCAAGCCACAAACCAAGAAACTTTAGACAGTATGATTACTAAGAGAAGATGGGAATTGATTGGCCACGTTATGAGAATTACTTCTGCTATACCTGCCGAAACATCTCTCACATGGACACCAGAGGGAAAGAGAAAACAGGGGCGCCCAAAAACAACATGGAGACGAGCGATGGAAAGTGACCTGAGTGCGGCATCTTTGACATTGAAAACTGCACTGAAGATTGCACAGGACAGGAACGCATGGAAAGTCCTCTCTGAAGCCTCATGTGCCACTAGGCATAACGAGAACTGATGATGATGTAGCAATACACTGATGTGAGTCAAGGAATATCTCCTAGTCCTTAGGAAAAAAAAATAGGGGCTTTTGATCTGAAATGCTATAGGAGGAATGTTAGAATACCATGGACAAAAAAAAAAAAAAAAAAAAAAGAGAGAAAAAATACTATATTACAAGATTTGAACATCAAGAAAGACTGGATAATAAACAGCATCTTGTCTCGGAAGCCGAAATATTTTGGTCATATCAAGCTCCATGACAGATTATAAAAAAAAAAAAAACAATAGCAGAAGGCATGGTCCCCGGAGGAGGGCCAGGGGCTGAGCCAAACGAAGGTGGGTGTCGGTTATGACTTCTTGAATATGAAAGTACACAAGGCAGGAGAGCTGGCAGATTGATGAGAGCGACGGAAATGAGAAAGCTGATCAACTGGCAGGGGAAGGCGCGACAAAAGAGCAGCCGGAT